TGTTGGTATATGGTGCTGAGGATCGAACCCGGGTCGCACGCATACCAGGCGAGCGCGCTACCGCTTGAGCCACATCCCCAGCCCCCTACAATGTAATTCTTGTCCTTGATCCTCTATAGGTAATGTCATATTTCCTTTGACTTTGTTTCAAGATTTTGTCTTTGATTATCTGCAGTTTCATATACATCTGAGAATAAATGAGACCAGTAAGAAAAATGTATTGGCTGTTTGTCAACTCTATTTCACATTGCAAATGTTTCCCTACTTGAGAATTGACTTTGATATTCTTGGCCCTTTGTTATTCCACTTACTTTAAAGTCAGCTTCAAGTTCCAAAATTAAACAATAAAATTGGATTTTAATTGGAATCACATTGAATCTACAGATTAATTTAAAATCCTGATAATATTGAATCATCAAGAACATTCTACATCTGGGTCTTCTTATATCTTTCCAAAAGTTTAATAACTTTCTCCATAAAGTTCTTATACATATTTTAATAGGTTTATTCCTGGGATCATATAATTGTTCACTTTTTTTTTAACCAGGGATTGAGCTAAGTGGTGCTTTTTAATATTTTATTTAGAACCAGCGTCTTGCTAAGTTGCTTAGGGCCTTGCTTTTTTTTTTTTTTTTTTTTTTTTTTTTGTAGAGGCTGGCTTTGAACTCACAATCCTCCTGCCTCAGCTCCCAAACTGCTGGGATTACAGGCATGTGCCACCACACCTGGCTTAGTTTTCTACTTCTGTTACAGGAGGCATGCTGTTGTTTATCTAGACTGCTATAACTCAAACATTTGAATATATATGTGGAAATATATAATGAGGCAATGTTATCTTTTTGCCTAAGCCAGCTTATTTCCTTGCAACTAAAACATGTAGAGTAATAGGAAGTTATTATGGAGAGCTCTAGAGACATCATTTTTTTCCCCTAGTGTTACTTATTCAATGCTCTAACAGACATGGTTTGAGCAACAAAGGCAGGCTTTGGTGGCGTGTCAGATTTTAAGGACAGTGACCTTTTTAGTCCCATCCTGGGAAGGATGCCATTACTGATGTAGCTGCTGTGAATGGAGAAAGAATTTATGGGTGTCCTCTGATATAGTGAACTTTCACCCCCATAGGGTGGGCATGTATCCTCCATAGATCATAGTAAGGAGACATATCATCTTGAAGGAGCGATTTGGACAATGCGTTCATTTTGAAAAATTAAAAAACGTAAAATAAGTCTGGAAGGTTTGAAGCAGATATGTCTGTCAGGATCCAGAGGAAGTTGATAAGCCTAAACAAAGACAGTGGCAATGTCTAGAAATGGAAAGAGTAAATGAATTTAAGAGTTATGGTATAGAGTGAGCACATCTTGGTGACAGTTGTGATAGAAAGAAATTAAAGACAGTTCTTTGATTCAGCTGTAATAGCTACTGGAATAGTGTTGGAGGGTTGGGTAGGAAGCTATAAAAGAGAAATTCTGCCTAGGACATGAACTTAAAGTTTATGTTGGACATTAGGGTGAAATGAAGTAGATATTGGCTACCAGCAGTTCAGATGATTGATGGATGGATGGATAGATATAGGTAGGTAGATAGGTAGACACAGATGACAGAGAGGGCTGAAGATTTGTCCAAGTATAAATGAGATTGCATAGAAGAAAAAAGACAAATCCTTAAAGGCTTAAATAGTTGTGGGATGCGGGTTTGCTGAAGGAGACAGCAACAGAGTTTGGGAAAGAATGACAAAAGCTGAGGAGAACACTTAGGGAAAAACGGTTTTACAGAAGTCTGGCAAGGAAGAATTTCAAAGGAGAGATCAAAATCTGAAAAGTCCAAGGAAAGGACATATAATGTGTTATTAAGAGATGCCCCTTGCTTTAGCAAAATATAGGTTATTGCTGGCCTAGGTGAGAGAGGCCCTGCAGGGTTCTGAGGCCTGAATGGGAAGTAGAGAAATGGAGACAAACCTTTTTTAAAAATTTTTTTCTAGTTGTAAATGGACACAATACCTTTATTTATTTATTTTTATGTGGTGCTGACTGAGGCTTGAACCCAAAGCCTCATACTTGCAAGGCAAGCACTCTACTACGGAGCCACAACCCCAGCCCCCAGTAGACAAACTTGAAAGAAATTTTTTTTTTAGTTGTAGAAGGACACAATACCTTTATTTTATTTATTTTTATGTGGTGCTGAGGATCAAAAACCAGTGCCTCACACATGCAAGGCAAGCATTCCTCAACTGAGATACAACCTCAGCCTCTGGAGATAAACTTTTGATTATTTCAGGCAACTTAAGTGAAGAAAACAGTTAAGGTTTTAATTTTATTCATTTAAAAGATGGGGGAGAAAATGGACTTGAGCCTAGATACAGCAGAGTACCCTGGCTTTATGGGTACATCTGTATATGGTGTTGGCGCATGAAAACATCTGGTGTGAAGTGGGGCAGCAGCCCATGGATGCCAGCTCTAGAAGGTAATTAGCTAGTTGAGCCTGGAGCTGTATTCTCAGAGTACAAATCTTGTCTCAGGGTAGTTGTGTAACCATAAATTAGTCACTCAACCTTCCTACATCTATTCCCTTATCTGTCAGATGAGGATAATATTGATACCTACCTCATCAGTTGGAATGAGATAAGTTAACATCCACTGTTGTATTTTTCAGTACTGGGGATGTCTTGTGCTCTACCATTGAGCTGCACCCCCAGCCCCCAAACCACTATTTGTAGTGCTTGTAACAGTGCCTGACATGCAGACTCCTAAAAGTGACAAAGCACTTTCATTCCCCTAGCTGGATCTCCACATACATTGCCATTTAGAATTCTGACTTACATGAGACTACATAAACATCAGCAGTTTTCTCTGAATTTCTACATTCAAAGATCCTGTTTCATAATAGATTATCCAGACACCTGGCCACATCCTCTGTCTTATATACTCCAGAGGAGCAAGCAGTCGAACAGAGAACCCCTTCCCACCCACACCTGGCTGGCAGCAGCTCAGACTCCTCTCAAACACCCTTTTTTAAAAATATATACTTTTAGTTGTCAGTGGACTTTTATTTTTATTTATTTATTTATTATGTGGTGCTGAGAATCGAACCCAGTTCCTCACACATGCTAGGCAAGCGCTCCATCACTGAACTATAACCCCAGACCTCACACACCCTTTTTTGAGTGACTTTCATAACCCCCCTTTCTAATTTGTTATAAAGTGATTCATAAAGAATTTACTAACAGTGAAGAAAAATCACACCTACATATCAGGTACTCCAGAGAAGATGAGATTTAATTCTGGAAAGGAGTTATTTTTGGGGAAGGAAATAGAACTGAGAAGGGGGACATATGTAGGCTTCATCTTTTTACAAATACAATCCAGAAACAAATAAGATTACTGAGATATGCTAGAGTTCAGTGGTTATACTGTATATTATTTGATCCTCTACACTTTTCTGTTTGAACCTTTTAAAATAATTTAAAAATAAGACTATTTACGGGCTTAAGGAAGATATAACATGGATGTGATTAGAGCTCAATGATTACTGTAAAGAAAAGGCAAGTTCATTTACATTGTTTATTTAAAAAAATCAGATTGAAAAATTAGAAACACACCCATGGACTGCTTCAAAAAGGATTTCTAGAAACAACTAAGACAATTATGAAGAGGTATGTTTATGTATGTCCTATATGTATGTACATATAGGTATACACATATACACATTATAGCATGTGTATATACAGAGTGAATAGTAATGAAGAAATTCAACAAGTACACATTTCATTAAAATTAGTTAATATGTATTTATTTACATGAATAGGTCCAAAGAAATCTCTTATGTTATACTATATAATAGTATAGGAAAGGATACTAATTTTCAACCTTTCAGAGTTTATTGATAAAGGAAAAATACAGGTTTATTTTAATAAACAAAGCACCTAATTCTTGCTTATTTTCTTTTTTTCCAAATATCTTTACTTCATTTATTTATTTTTATGTGGTGCTGGGGATGGAACCCAGTGTCTCGCATGTGCTAGGCAAGTGATCTACCGCTGAGCCAAAATCTCATCCCATCTTGCTTATTTTCTTAGTGGAAAAAAAAAATGACACATACTTGTCATGTCCTGTATTGATTAAGCTTATCAAAGCTATTAACAAAACTCTGGACATTAAAAATGCTAGGAGTGTTGCCATAAGCATATGCCTCTACATCAATAAAACATAAATTCAGTCTAAATCCTTCATTTCACCCTTTCCCAGCATCATTTCAGCTTTCCTCCTATCCCTGCAGTCCTAGAAGTCTGGGGGCAATGACAGAGCATAACTAATGCTAAGGTGACACCCGTGCTCCCTAAATCCTGATAGCCTATCCCTAAAGGAATCTACTGACATACCCCTGAAGACATCAGTAACACCACTCTGGATCAGAGTCCTGGAAGGGATAATATGTGGCACAAAGCCTCAACTGCTACCAAGGAGGGAGGGGTACAAATGGTCTCCATCTGCCCCCTTACTTTGTTCCTCGGGGCCCACTTTGCCTCCTTAATAGAGTTAGGAGAGCAGGGGATGGGTGAGGACTGTTCCCAGGATGACTGCAGCCAGGGAACCATCTGGGCACTTTCCTGCCCCCAGGTGGTGCACAGAGAACACTAGCAAGCCCAAGTATTCTAGGCCTGTACAGATGGGACATTAAGTGCACAACCCAAGTGAGGAGAGGTGAGATGGGGAAACACTGATTTGTGTATTGAAGAGACTGGATGCTCTCTGTGGATCACTGATTCTGACCTGTGGAGAGTTCAAGATATAATGATGATCTCTTCAGGTTAATGGACCAGAGAGACAATGGTGGAGGTGGGGGTCCAGCATGCTCCTCCGCCCACTGATAGTCTTGACCAATATTTTTTTTAATGGTAAACATAACAATAAAGAAAATGTTTACAATCAGACTAAGAAAGCCCAGAACCTTTGTGCTGTAACTTGATATTTTTATGATTTTTTTCATTGACTTAAAACTGACAATAGTATCTGCTCATTTTATTGAACATTATTCCAAAAAATAGGAGCACTATAGTTATAATCAGGAGAGAAGCAGGGGGATTTGAAGAGTAGCAGCGTTTCTACAGGGTCCTTCCCTGGGGCCACCCCAGTTTTCTGAATATTAGTGGTAAGGAGGCTCCTTAGGTGTGGAGCCTTAGCCTATGGCTCTCTAGACTAGAATCTTAGACTTGATTAGGCTTAACAGTGAAAATTCCAAGAGAATTATGTTAATAGAAATTGGTCACCCTTTCCCTGCAGAAAAAGCACAAGAGTCAGAGCTGGCTTACCTCCAATCAGATCCCCCCCAAAGAACATGATTGAGGAACTATAGGTTGGTGCTCAGATCCCTTCTCACTCCTACCTTCCCTGAGCTTCTGTATCTACCACACTGGAAGCTTTTGGAAAGAAATGCCTGGAACTTCTCCATTGTCTTCCCAGCCTGGGAGGCAAAAGAACTGAATAGGTCCAAAGAAATCTCAAGGATTTCTGCCCACCATTGCCCCAGCTTTCAGATTATGTTGTCACTGTACAGGAAACCACCAGTGGGCAGTCTGATCCACAGTGAGAAATCTAGAGAAAAAACAGGTCACGTGTGCAAAATCCTTCTTCCAGAGCCATGTGCCCATATTCTTGCCCCTTAGGGACAACTGTACTATCCATTTCCTGGGAAGATGCTATGGGCTAAATAAAAACAGGGTAGAAAGAAGGAGTTGGAATCTACATCATTTTGGAGTTAACAAGGGCCTTTGAGGAACAAATCCTTTAAATTAAATAACTTTTCAAAGTGTTTGGACCACAATATGGGCTCAATAACATTAAATAGTGGTTAAATGAAATTGAAGTTGCAAGAAACCCAAGGCAGAGTAGCAGCTTCAGGACAGGGAAGTGAGTCTGCCTGGGGAGAAGGGTATGGCTGCAGCCCTTGCTTCTGCCCACCACTACTTCAGGCCCCATATATTAAAAAACCTTGGAGGTGGTGACACAGAAGTGAAGTGACCAGGCTGAGAATGGGGGGTGGGAAAGGATTGACGTAACTCATAGGCCAAGCAGAGCAGTAGAAAGACGACAGATCTCATTCCCAGCCCTCAACTTTAAGACCCTTCAAGGGGCAGGTCCTGACCCCAACCTGGCTGGGCCCTGCTGAGCTCTATTGCTCTTAAGAGGCTAGTCCTGGATGCTCCCTTACCCTAGGGCCATTCACTTTTTTTCCCCCTTTTCTTTTTACACAGATAATCCACATTGCATATAGAAAAATGACACACCACTCTTTATTGAACACCAGTGCCAGCACTGACCCTCTTCTCTCCAGGCACAGGGGCACGTGGGCAAGGGGCTCCTTCCCCCGGCCAGGATGCAGTGGAAGCCTGGCCCCACTACTGCTCTCCTAGGGCCAGCACCCTCCTTGGTGCCTGGGGCTGCTGCTTCAGGTCTACTCAAACTCCTGTTCACAGTAGCCTATGTTGAGGGGCTGGGCCTGGACACCTCGCCTGCAAGAGGACATGAAGAAATAACAAGGTGAGCCCCATAGTCTTATACCCCCAATAACACCTCTACCACAGTCAAAAGCCTCTTTCCCCATTTCAGTAAATCTCAAATGGTCACCGTGTACCAAAATTACTTGCAGATCTCACGTCTAGAGATTCTCACTTGGGGTGAGACAAAGTGTTGGCAAGAATCTGTATTGTAAATAGGTACCCAGGTGATCTGGGAAACACCTATTTCTAGCTTGCCTATGTTTGTGCCTCATCCCCTGATATCTTAGTCCCTTTGGAAGATGTAGATGCTTGAGGGGTGTCCAGTGCTCTTGGTTAGCCATCCATTCTTGGTTCTATTCTAATATGCTTAAAGCAGTGATGGTGGAGACTGAGGTGCTGTCCAGCCCAGGTACTGGGCATGAACACCTGTCCTTAGGTCTTAGACTCACTAGTTTGAAGCCCTGACAATCTCTTTTAGCGGCAACATGCTTACAGATGGCAAGGAACCTACTAACAATCATCCAGGACATCACAGACTATTGAGCCTTAGACCCCAGGATGTTTGACTCTTAACCCAAAAGTTGACTTTGAACTAAGCGATGTTCCCTATGTTCTAAAAACCTTGTCAATGACTAAACCAAGAAAATGACTCTCATAAGGCCGAAAGGCATGGATATCATGAGAGCTCATAAAAGCCAACCTCATTCAAATCTTGCTTTTGAGTGACTATGGGGCAAGGTACTTAACTTCTCTGTGCTATAGTTATCTTATTTTATTTTTGCAGTGCTGGGGATGGAACCCAGGGCCTCGTGCATGCTAGGTAAACACTTTGCCACTGAACCATACCCGCAGCCCCTCAGTCATCTGTTTCTAAAATGGAGGTAAAATTTATCTACGTTATGGGTTGTAGTAAAAATCCAGTGAGACAAGGTACACTGTAAAGCACAGTGCTTGTCAAAAGGTAAGTGTTACTGTTACCATTCTGTTCTTCTCAGTAAGGGATCCCAAGCTCTGAGTTTGCCTCACCCACTTTGGGAAGGACCCAAAGCCTGCTTACCTCAGCAATTCACAGCGGAAGTGTGACAAACGTTGAAAGGCAAACTTCACATCAGTCATTGAACTCTTGCTCCATAGCCTTTCAGAAACAGCCCCTGCTCTGGGCCTGAAGGAAAAAATGTATGTGGCAGATTGGCCCTGTGTTCCCTGGAAGGGTGCTGGACATCCACAGGCTACTGCCTTTTGTTCAGGCCCCAGAGTGGCGCAAAACCAAAGAATGTGATAGACACCTTGTTCCAAGTGAGAGCCTGGCTGATTGGTTCCCAGGCAGTTCTGGGGCCCAGCTCCGTTTTTGTTAAAATGTGGATAGTGATCTAGCCTTCCTCCTCTCCCAAAGAAATGGGAACAAGAGTAAGCCTTAAAGGCATCATTAGTTGGTACTGACAGCAGCAGCAGATGTCTTTCAAATGTAAACTCAGTACACCTGCCATGCTTGGTGAGGCTACTATAGCAGAGAGAAATCTTATAAGTATCATGGACCCTTAGTATTGGAACCTGAGCAAATCACCTATGTTCTCCAGGCGTCCTTATCTCTATCTGGAAAGTGGTGATAATAATCACTACTCCACATACCTACTGGGTTGCTTGAGGGACATATGGAGTCACACGGGAAGTATTACATGCAAAACAGAATGTAATGCAATGCACCTACTCTCTCAGGCCTAAAAGGAAGGTACTAGTGTGGAAGTGGCTGGATGGATTTGACTGTGAAAAGGAGGACCCCTGCCCTCAAGCCCAACCCTCCATATCTTCCAGAAAGCCCTTACCAGAGCCTGGGGACCAGGTTTGTACTGTCCACATACTCTCCCCACATACAGGCCTCTCCACCAATCACCAGAGCCTTCTGCTCAGGGGTACCTGAGGGGAAACCACAGTGGGCCCGTGAGAGGTGTAACTCTAGGCTTCCTTTACCACCACTGTCCCAATGTGGCCCTCTCTGCAGACAGGTCATTTCATTTCTAGGAATGTCTAGCCCAGAGCTTCCTGCCTCCCTCCTGAGTCCCAGCCATCTTTGGTCAGCAAGGAGAGTGCCCTGCTTTCACCTTTAAAATCCAGGGGCTCCACTTTATAGAAGTCCTTCCAGTCAGGGCCATAAGTTATACGGTTTAGGTACCAGGGGGCAGAAAGTAGGGCCCGGAAGCCAGCCTTAGTGATCAGATCCAACTCCTTCATGTAGTTTACTGGTAACTCTTCTTGCCATACCTGTATGATGGTGTCTGGCCGAATCTGTTGCAAAAGGTCAAAGGGCATTAATGGTATAGAACTGAGAAGATTTCTGGGCCTCTTTCTTAGGCAAGCAAACTAGGCTAAAGGGTGTTATGTATGTACCCTCTGTTTCCTGGCACAAAGGATAGCTCTGTGACTCCTAACCACTGAGCTCATACCCCACTGCAGAGCTAAGGAGTCCAAGAACCCTAAGATAGCTCTCTGCTGTTCTCCTCTCCCACATGGAGATAGTAATATTGTCTGGGAGCCAAAGGAGGCAAGCAGTGGGGCTCAGGATGTCCAAGAGTCTCCAGATATTTCTTGGGGTAAGACAAGGGTTGGGATCTTACTGAACAATAATGAAGGAGAAGGCACATTCATCCTTAGGGTCCAAGGATGAAGGCAATCTGCCTCTCCTAGACCCTAGTCTCTGATTCAGGAAGGAAAATCCAACCCATCAAGTCAAGTCTCAGGAATCTCAAGTAACCAGTGATTCTAGTCTATAGTGATCCTGACATCTAAACCTGGGGCTCACACCTGTGCAGTCTTTCTAAAGGGGGAAGGAGAGACGGCCAAAGTGCCTGGACCTTTTAAAACCTAGTCCAAACTGGAGGATCAGTCCCTGCAGAGGCAAGGGAGGAGTAGGGAGACCAGAGGTAGATGTCACTGGAGGCTCCTTTTCTTCTCTGCCCTTGGCTCACCTTTACTTTATTATCAAACACTTCCTGCCACACCACATAGCCCTTGCCATAAGCAGAGACGATGTCCAGCAGCCTGGGAATGAGAGAAGTGTCAAGAAAGTGTCTGCTCAGCTCAGACAGGCTCTAGGCTGTGTGTCCGAACTCTAGGACTTGAGCCTGGCCAGGGGGCCCATCCCTGACTGGAAGGTATCTTTCTTTCCCAAGGCTGGTACCCAACCACTCCAAACCTGAAAAGATAGAGCATGGTGACCCTTCAGGTGCCCATAGAGTTGTCAAGCAGGGCCCAGCCCTGATATGGAAAGTGGTAAGCCCCAAACACACTCTACCCTCCTTCCTTCCTCACGTCTGGATGTAGAAAGACTCCAGCTGCTTGAAGTCATCACCAAAGCCCTTCTTCTTCATGAAGGCTTGGATATCTGGGTTGGATCTCCTGAATCCCAAGAAAAAATAAAAAATTAATTCTTTTACCACCCCAAAGGCCTATAGCCTGATGGTTAATGACCTGGCCTCTTAAAACTATCTTTTTTCACTTAAAAGAGCCAAATCACTGAGGATCTCAAAAGTTGTAAATGAGCAAAGTGTGACCAAACAAGATATGTAAAGGATGAGTTTGAGTTTGAAAGAGTCTGAAATCCAAACCCCCAAAGAGAATTCACATTCATCCTTAGGGTCCAAGACTCATCTGGGAGCTCTAGCACACTGGATTCTGACTTCCCATCTGCTGCTGTTCCAGCAGGAGCCAAGAGTTGCTGTCTGTTACCTACTGCAAATCCTTGTCCCCTGACATCTGTTTGCTCACATTGTTCTCTTCCAAAAATATTTTCCACTCCTCATGTCCCAAAAGCCAAACTATTTCCCTGAATCCAACTTTAGTGCCTAATTCTAGATGAAGCCCTCACAGCCTCTTTTAAGCTCACTAGATCTGAGGGTTTGGACTTTATGATTTAATATTAATTGTACACTGTTATCTATTAATCTTGAATTCTCTTTCTTGATTTTTCAATCAGACTATTTTAAGCCTATGTAAACGGGGATTATTTATCTCTATCTTGGATTCTTCCAAGATAATTCTGAGCTGGGATATTTTTCCACAAATATCTCAAGAATCTGAAAATACAGAGGAAGAGAGGTTTGCACTGACAGCCTTGCCAAAGTCAGGTAGGGCCTCTATGGGCTGAGACAGACTGCTGTGTCCTAGAGGTTAGGCCCTAAGCAGCAGCAGCTGACCCAGGCAGCTATGCAGGGCTGACCTCTACTCTGAGTAAACAATTCATCAGGGAGGGTGGGAAGATCAAAGGGCTCATACCAGCAGGTGAAATCAACCTCATCTCCTCCAAGGTGAAGATAAAAATCTGGGAAGACAGAGCTGATCTCCAGGAATAATGTGCTCATGAACTCATAGGTATTGTTGAGACTGGGGTTCACTGGTCCAAAGGTGCCAGAGGGCCGAGACTCAGAGTAGCAAGGAGTCAATAACCCTGGGATACCTAAGCCAACAGAGAACCCCACATGAGTGTCAGAACCAGCCAGGCACAGTGGCACACATTTGTAATCTCGGATACTTGGGATACTGAAGGAGGAGGATCACAAGTTTGAGGACAGCCTGGGCAACTTAGTGAGACCCTGTCTCGAAAGAAAAGAAAAAGCCGGGTATGGTGGGCATGCCTGTAATCCCAGTGGCTTGGGAGGCTGAGACAAGAGAATTGCAAGTTCAAAGCCAGCCTCAGCAACTGTGAGGTGCTAAGCAACTCAGTGAGACCCTATCTCTAAAATAAAATATAAAATAGGGCTGGGGATGTGGCTCAGTGTTCCAAATACCTGAGTTCGATCCCCAGTACCAAAAAAAAAAAAAAAAAAAACCAGAAAAGAAAAAGACCCATGTACACTCTAGTTCTACATGTAAGGACATTAAGTCTCATAGAGTGAGACACTTGTGTTCATAAATGTCACACACAGGCATTCATAGGAACTGTGACCACCTCTTCAGTCACAATCAAAGGAATATGAACATGTTCACAATCAGAGACAGGCTGGGTTACAACCAGACAACTGTTAATGGATACACTCTTGCCTCGACACACTGCTTCCAATAGAATTCACCCTTGCTCCAAAAGGACATTTCTTCTCAAATGGCCTTAAGCAATAAAGGGGACTGAGCCTAATGGAGCCAAATTGGTACAATCTTTCCTATCTCCTCCTCTTTGTGGGATCAATTATTACGCAGAATTCTACATTTCCTAAGGGGCATTTCTCTTGGCCCAGAGGCTTCCCCTCTTGGGGTTGAGACCAGGTGGCAGCCTCTTTCAAAATCTTCCTTTAACTAGGTTTTAGTCCAAACTAAAACCTAGTTAAAGGAGCTACACAGAAAAAGAGAGTAAGCAGGAGTAGTGGCTGTTTGAATAACCTCTGGAGGCCACCCCAAGCTTCTTTCTATCAGATTCTAATGAGATTAGATTCCTCAGTATCTGCTCTGGGGCACAACAATTTTTGCATGGGGATCTGAGACGAATCTGCCCATATTTTAATAATAAAAAGTGGACTCCTTTGTCCATCCAAAAGTAAGTTCTTCCCTATCTAAATTCCCAGGTAAGAAAAGTTTATAGAAAACATTCTTCCAAGGACCACAACTGGAACATGCCACATCCTAGAGCCAATGCCCTGAAGCCCCACTCTAAGAACCATCAGAAGATCCCTCCAATCCCAAACATTATTCTTACCTGGTCCCCAGGACAAAGTGTGGCCAGGAGTATCAAATTCTACCAGCACACGGATACCCCGAAGCCGAGCATATTCAATTACCTCCTTCACATCCTGTGTTGTATAGATGTGGGTGACAGGGTTGTAGGCCCCCTGGAAGGCATAAGATACGATTCAGATCTTATTTCCTGAAGGCTATCAGAATAGAAGATACTCAAAATGCTTCCACCACTCCCCAGATACCAAAACTATCTTCAAGAATCTTTATCATAATCCCCCACCATTATCACATCTACTGTTTTATCTGAGCACCATAATGCCAGTGAGATAAACAAGGTAGAGATTATTTCCATTTAACAGAATAAATATAAATAAAAAGCAAATGAGGACAGCAAATTTTCTTCTGAAGGTCATAGAGCAAATTAATGGCAAAATTTGGACTCGAATCCAAGTGTCCTGATTCCAAAGCTACTGTCCTTTCCCTCTGTCAGTGTGTCTGGTTAGGATAAGAGCTATTGTCCTTGCCAGCAGGGGCTCTAGCCACGCTCAGCCAGGGACCTATTATAAGCTTAGGCTGAGTAAAACAAGACATACCTTTCTGGTGAGCTCTGGAAAAGTGGTGCTCTCATATGGGAAGGAAGAGTCATCTACAATATGCCAGTGGAACACGTTGAATTTATTGTATGCCATGACATCCTGTAGGTCAGAGCACACACCATGAATCTATCACAGCTTCTCCGATTTCAGCCTCAAACTGGGCAGGTTGGCAGGCAATTCCACACACCCCAACAAGCCTCAACCTGCCCCAGCTGCAGTGAAAGATTTATACAGCCTATCAAACCACCTCATCAGAAAGGGCCTGGCATGGAGGGGTGACTCAGGGGATTTCTTCTTTCCTAGGACACAGCCAAAGACAGCTGAAAGATGAATTCTGGCCACATAGAGATGAACACTGTAACTACTATGGTAGGCTGTTATCTTCCAAAAGTCCCCAGATAGTCTTAGGACCTACACTTACTTCTTCCTACCATATGCATTGGGTTATGTGACTGATGTTTATCAAATCATGATACCTGCTGGGAACTTGGTTTCCCCCAAACTCATAAATCTGAGGCTTCTGAACCATGTGTCAACTCCTTTGGTTCCACCAGAGGAGGAAAGGAAAAGGCAGACCCATGAACTAATGAGCAACTGTTATCTAAGAATCCACATTAAACTCAACAGACTTAGGAACTTCCTCAGATGAGGCTTCAAACACATCTTTCCTATGACTTCATCCTACATAAAGAATGCTGAGGAGCCAATTCCCTAAAACTCTCACTGTACTCTTGGAAACAGACTGAACATTGGTTCATAGTAACCTGTGGCATAGATTTAAACCACTCATGATATTTTTTGAGTCTTGGAGCAGGTCACGTCTACATTTTCCCCAGGGGCTTCGAGAGTTACATATATTTCTCCCCTACTCTTTAGGAATATGGAACCTGATCAATCCCTTGCCCCATGGCTCCAGAACTCTATGCATGAATAAAGCCTTAAGGCCTGTGTACCAGTGTGTCCAGTATGCTAAACAGTGGCAGGTAATGTCGAGATGTATCCAACAGCAAACCCCGGTGAGGGAAGCGAGGAAAGTCCTCAATCTTCGTCTTGTTGACAAAGAACTGTGCAGATCAAACATTGAATATGTCAAAATTCAAAGGGATTATCCCAAGATCCCTGAAAAGCCAACCTATGAATAACTATAAGGATATTGTAAGAATAACTATGTCCCTAAACAATGCCCTCCACCAATCAAAGACCATAAGCAGCCACCCTCCCAGAGGTCAAACATCTCACTTAGCCAAATATAACTGTCCCATATACCAAATACAAGTGTCCCATACAGATTAGATTTTCCTGATTGTTAACTTGTTTATTTTCTTCAAAGCAATGTGGTATCAAGGTCACTACTAAATGATTCAGAATAATCCATTATAGTCACTCTAAATAGACCAATCTATCAAAAAAGTTCTCCATTCACATCTCCTCCAATATTTATCCAAATCCACTAGGACCCCATCTAAATCAAAACAAAATCTTCCCAGGACTCTCATTATTTTCCAGGACTTTTGAGAAAATCCCAGAGTGCATAAAGAAGCCCCCTACCCCCCGCTTTTTATTTTTAAAAAAAATTTTTAGAAGTAGTTGGACACACTATCTTTCTTTTATTTACTTATTTTTATGTGATCCTGAGGATTAAACCCAGGGCCTTGCACATGCTAGATGAGTGCTCGACCACTGAGCCACAATCCCAGCCCAGGGAGTACTTTTTAAGGGCCCATACTCACCGCGCCATCAGACGATCTCCAAACCACCTGGCTAAAAGTCTCCAGGCCTGTGGAGAAGTGGAGAGAGGGTGAAAATTTGGGGAGTCTTGGAAAGTTGTAACTAAGGCAGAATATGATGTGTAGGCATAGGGTGAAAATGGATGTAGTGCAGGCTTCACGATTCTCAACACTTATAAAAAAGGAGATACCAAGAAGTCAGTTTACATTTTGCTTCTGTATTTTATTTTGGAAGGTAGTTTTAGTGCCTTTCCATGCAACACACTAACTTTCAAAACTCATATACCACCTCCATATTTTCTGAGCCTTAAAGTTACAATAAGATGTAAGATGGGGGCAGGGGTCGTGGCTCAGCTGTAGAGTGCTCGCTTAGCACAGTTCAATCCCCAACACCACATAAAAATAAATAAATAAAGATTAAAAAAATAATAATAAAAAGATGTAAGATGGCTAATTCATGGCCAAGCCAGACTGCAAGGGGTTAAAGCTTTCCATGGATAAAGCCCATTAGGAGCTAAGAGAATAAAATAAGAGGGACCCTGGTCTACTGGTCTTACTTCTTTCAGACTGAATTATGAGAAAGTAATCATTAGATTGAGCTTCTAAGGAGCCTGAGGCTGGATCTGGAAGATAAGGACTCACTACTCTTCCTCTGTAGTGACTGAGACCAGATGAAGTGTGCTGGGTGGCAACTGCCCCCCCAAAGGACTGCCTTGACATAGTCTCTTAGAGACCATCAAGGTGCAAGCACAGTGATTCATGTTCTCAACAGCTAAGGCCCCACTTATAGAAACCCACCAGAAAATCCATGAAGGATCTCCAGAGTCCCAAAATTTTGAAATGAAAGAATCCATAAGACCTTAGTGGTCAAGCAGGACCTAATGTGAAGCTCATTGGAACCTATGATATGGGCCCCTCCCCACTCTGATACCCAGCACTTTAGAGTCTGACATGCCCCTTCCCCAAACTAAGGAGCACCTTTAAAAATGTAGGAGAGGGCAGAGAAGGGAATATGCTGCATCTCCAAAGAAGGGAGGAAAGGCAGTGTAATAAAGCCCAACTAAAACAAAGAATTCAGTGAGAATTAGCTCATATTCACTGGCAGAGGCTTTACCAAAAGTAGTAGAGGCACCTGGCTAAGTATTTGTCTAGGGACCAAACACCTTCTCAGTAAATCTAGAGAAAGGGTAGGGGCCTATCACCTATAGGCTGGTAAGCCTTCATTTTCTCCAGAAAATACCTTTTACCTGTATATATTTTTATTAGTCCCCCCACCACACACACACACTTTTTTTTTTTTTTTTTTAAAGAGATGGGGTCTGGCTATGTGCAGGCTGGCCCAGAATTCCTAGGCTCAAGTGATCCTCCCACCTCAGCCACTGAGTGTTGGGATTACAAGCCCATGCCACTGCACCTGGCTTAGTTTTCCTTTTCAAAGACCCTTTCCAGTCATATGCCTGGAGTGAGAGATGGACAGGTGGTTTTTGTGATAGTACTGCTTATTCTCATAGCTAGCTGCCTGTCCCCTGCACTCTCCCCCTGTACTGTGCGCCACATGGGAGCTTCTGGAAGTAGCAGCAAGGAATGGGGAAACTCCAACTGTCTCTATAAAGAAAGCCATATTGGGAGTATTCACTGGGCCCCAGTCCTGTTCTCCCATCCCATCAACTTCAATATTCCCACATCATTCTCTCACCCCCATCTCTTTCTCTTTCCTTAATCAGCCCCAACTTGTTACCTCGGAGAGCTCCCCAGACACTATGAGCGACGAGTAAAATCCGCTTATCATTTATGGTCAGGGTGTCTGAAATAACAAAAATAATTTATTTGGTTAAGGTTTACTCAGACTATAGACAAGATGGTCTATATAAATCCTTGGATAAAACAGAAACAAAAACAATAAGATCACATTTTTTTTTTTTTTTTAATATTTCAGAGAGGTGCAAAGCCCCTGGCAGGCTGCTGAAGGGTGGTCAGACCCTGGCAGATGATGCATGAAGAGAGTCAGGCTGGAGCAGAGTTCTCTGCAAGCAACACCCAGCTTATGGGTCATTTTCCCCTAACCAAAACATGAGGTCCTGTTAGCCTCCAGCAGAAGGTATGGTATCTCCTACCAGCAAAGGGGATAGGGCTGTTTGAAGGGGCAAGTCCAGCATCCAGCATTCCCAAAGCCTTTGTTTCCCCTTTTTCTCTAGACTTTCAACTACTTCATCTAAGAATGTGAGAAAGAAGCAAAGACTCAAATATTCACTTTGGAAAGGTTCCCAATCTGCTGCTCAGGAAAGATAGGAGGCAGTCATAGGACTAATGACATAGCTTTGTTTCAGCATACACAACCCAAAACTCTGGCACAGTCCTCAAAAAGTAATGTACCCAGTCCAAAAGGTAAGTGTCCTATGGGACTCAGTGAAGAGCTAGTGCAACACTCTGCAGCCGACCTTTAAGTACTGGTTAGAGGGTCATATGAGAAAAACTCATCTTCTATGGCTTTTGGCACTTCAGGTCATGAGAAGCTTAGGTCAGGACATCTGGAATCATATCTCCAGACAAGTGCCTGCTCTTTAGGACATGGGGCAGTGTGGTTCTTACAGTTCTCCAGTGACTCCAAAGTAGGAAAGTCAGTACATCCCGCTGTGCTCACAGAGACAACCAACTTGTTCTTCTTTATTTTCTCCTGTTTTTCTGCAAAAAAAAAAAAAAAAAAATAGAGTAAACAGTATGGCTGACTTGCCACTAGCAACAATAGGTAAAAACCAAGACCCTGCAGAAGGGTTCCTAGCTCTAATCCCTCAGCTCATATACTGTGGTGACAGGAAAGGGAAGATGTGATATTCACCCATGGTGTTGTCCCTTTCTGGTCATGTTCAACTTTTGTTCTGGTTGTGCTTTTTTCTTCCCCAGTAACCCGCCCCGACTCACACAGGAATGATTTAGGTGGTAGTTCTAACTTTGTCTAGACTGTGCCAAACACACAATTCCAAGGCCTCAAAAACTGCTTCTCATCAAGCTGCAGCTCAACATCTGGTCTTCCTTCACATTGGCACAGACAGACCTCCCACACACAGGGCACACAGAGAATGCAGCTGATGCCTCAAAGAAGGCCCACGATCACCAGCCCAACCTGTTTTCTTCCCCATCCTATCCAAGGCAGACTTCTGCTCAACACGAAAGCCACCAAGTATGAATTAACATATCGTAGCTCTACAGACCCCAGTCTATGCAGAAAAAAATGCCATAGTCAAAATGTGCATCTCTTTCTACCCTCCTACCAGTTTTCTGTGATTTTTTTTTCTGTGATTCTGATTTTATTGTGCCAAAATTAATGGGTCCCCTCCCTATTCTTTCCTGAAATCATATGTACACCACTGGTAGCACAATATCCATGACTTTCTCTGGAACTACAAAGTAAGGAATAGATGGTCTGGAAGAAAGCAGAGAGAGAGACTTCAGAACCAAACCAGAATCCCAATGTTACCCATTCTCCAAGCAGAAGAAAACTGGGAGCCTCCGAGCATCTCAAGGAAGCCAGCTCAAAGCTCCTGAGCATTCCCACATGACTGCAACTCAGCTTTCACATCTGCCAAGAATCAAGCCAATAAGGAATCCAACAATGCCTGCCTAAACCCTGCAGGGAGATGGGAATTTGAGGCAACTCTGGGTATGGTTAACTTTTATCTATATCCTAATCCTAAAAATACATCCCCTCTTCATGCAAGGACAACCAGGCTCTCAGGCCTCAGAGACTGCTCTCAAGGCAGAATCAGTAGGTTCATCGTAAGCACCCCAAATCAGACAGGGAACCTCTCCAAATCCATTGCAACAAATTCTGAAAACTGAGGACTTAATCTGATGGCAGGGGCAAAGAAAACTATAAAAGAATCCTTCTCCTTAAACTATATTATGCCCCTTGCCTCCTTGGCACCCCTTTAACTGAGCCCATCTGGGAGCCTCAATATCACTGTGTGGAGCTATCTCTGGCAGCCATCCAAAGAGGGCAAAAGTCCTGAGCTTTTCTGTTAATCCTCTGGGCCTTCGTTTGCCAAATGAGGAGAAATCCCAACTCATCCACATGCAACTACCATGGTCACTGTCCTGAGGACAAAACAGGAGAGGATGCACAAACAGCAGGATTATCCGAACTATCACTTGGAACATAGGAAAATACTTTTTTTTTTATATTATCTTTTTATTTTTCTAAAACACACCTGCACTCTATTCCTTATGTCTATAGTCCTAGATCACAGATTTTCTTGGATGATCTGAAGGATATGAAAGCACTTTTTTCCAGAATGACACCACTATGGTAAAGAATCCTGTCCTAAATGCTCTCAGTGACTCATGTGGCTGTTAAAGAAGTATATTCAGAGGCTCAGCTGCTGCTTAGATAAACTCTGAGAGAGAAGATTTGAGGGAGGTGGCAAAACAGGAGGGACACTGGGTCATCTAAAAGGATGTAAATAGAGTATCATCACTGTGGTTTTCCGCCTCGTTGTTGCCACTGTACGAGCTCTGAAGAGAGCAGGAAATAGGCAGGGGCCAGCCAGCTGCCTCTCCACACACCCACACCCACACCCACACCCCTGTGCTGAGAACTGAAGTGTGGGAAGTGAGGTATGGCAAACAGCCAGGTGAGCGGGCAATCACATGCACACGTGCACCGTGGACCCCACTGGGACAGCAGGGAATTCTAAAGCCTCGGGTGCTGAGGAACACAGAGTAGTGGGCTGGGAAATCAGGAAAGGCTGGTCTGGTTCTGGTTCTGCTACTACCAAGCCGAGTAAGATTCAAGTTTCAGGACTTCCATTTCCTGTCCTGTAAACAATGGCAGGGCAGAACAAGATTCCGTCTACTAAAACCTCGTGACTCCAGGTTCCATTTCATTATCACAGCCTCCTACCTCTGCAGCTCACTCATCTCCCAGCTTTTATCTAAACTCTTTCTCTTTGAGAGGGAAGGGGAAGGTAGAGTTTCCATTGAAAAGTTTGCATTTTTTTTTTTTAATTAAAAAGGTAGGGGCTATGGTTGTGGCTTGTGGTAGAGCGCTTGCCTAGCAAGTGAAAGGCACTGGGTTCAGTCCTCAGCACCACATAAAAATAAATAAAGGTATAAAAAATGTTGTATCTGATAAAAAAAAAATGGTAGTACTCACTAGTTGAAAAATTCAAACACTACACAAGCATTTACAATAAAAAATAAACAAAAGTATCTCTGTTATCCTTTGTTAGTCTTCTCAGTGTGGAGATAACATGCCGTTCATTCTATGTCTGTTCTCCATTTTTGGCATGATTCTGCCTTCCTCATCATAGACAGGTCATCTCTGGACATGGAATTCTGAGAACAAGGACTCTCTTATTATTAAAGTCCCTATAGAACGTTCTCCAGACTATAGTTGTACAACTCTTCAAGTCCTTTCTGTCTTTAGTCCTCTCTCAGCCTCACATAACTTCCTGTTGGCCTAGATGTGGACATCCATCACCTCAGATGCAATCTAGCCAATACTCTTAACAACCTGTCTTAGTTTTACTTATATCCAGTGTGCAAAACCCTCAACCCTGGATCAATCTAACCTCTGCCTTCTGTGCCCCCTTATCCCGGCTTACTAGCCCTATCAGAGGGAAGGGAAAAAACAGAATAGCAGGATTGGGTCACTGTAAAATCATGGTCTCCCATCTTGGCTGGGCCCTCAAGGCTGCCCTGAAAATCTTCTATCACTTTTTTTTCTATTTTCCACAATAGCTATTTCAATCTTGTACCACTTTCCTCAAGTTGATCCCCAATTTCCTTAGTCCTAGCAGATAATTAAAAAATAACTCCCATCCAGCTTACCTTCTCCCTTCCCCCAGATATCTGCAACACACACCTGTCTTAACCTTCTCCTCTCCATCTTGATGAAAGAGGTCTCCTTTTACCTGTGCTCTGGACCTCTCCTCAGGTTCCTCTTGTATAAATTATTTCTCTTTTTTCCAAAGTCTTTGAGTTATTTCTTTCTACCAATTCTTTCCCATCAGCATTAAAATCTTTGCAGTCTTCCTGGTCTCAACTGTAGTTCATCTCAAACATTCACCCCTTCTCTCAACTTCCAGTCACAAAGAAACTCTAGAAGAAATGTAGCCTGGGCTGTTGGAAGCTGAACTTCAAGGACAGACAAATCTGAAATCAAATCTTGGTCCTAACAATTCTGGTTGTGGGACCCTGGGCAGGTTATTTACTCTCTGAGCTGTAGTTTCCTCATCTGTAAAATGGGACTCATGATAGTACCTACCTTACTGCATTGCTGGGGAGATTAAATGAGTTAATATATGTAAAGTGCTTAGTTCAGTGTCAGGCACAAGGTAAGTGCTCATGGACGTGGTCATTCTTTGTTTTCTCTTTATAGCCACACTTCTTTACATCCTATGTACCCCTCAATCTGTTATAATCTGACTTCCCTTGCCATCACTCCCATGAAAATGGCTTCACTAAGGTTCTGTGGAATCTTTCCAACTCATCCAGTCATTCATTCAACAGCTATTTATTGAATGTTTACTATGTGTCAAGCTTATTTCTAAGTGCTGGGGATATAGCAGTGATTAAAACAGACAAAATTCTCTGCTGTCAGAGAGCTAATATTTTAGACACCATTCACTACTTCTGGGATCACTTGGCAGCAGAAGATACTGACAAACTCACTTCACTAGAGGGACACTGTTCTCTCTTGATTTTCCTTCTTCCTCTTTGAATATGCTTCCTCATTCTCTTTTTCCTTTACCAATCCCTCTGTGCTGGTGTTCTCCAGGGTTTCTAAGCTTCCAGATTTCTTTTTCTCCTTACTTTACACTTTCCTGGGAAATGCCATCCACTCCCACAGTACTCTGAAGTTACAAATTTATCTTTTCAAGCTAATTCTTCTGGAGCCCTAGACTTCGTATGTTTCTGCTCAGCTTATCTCAAATGCACCCTGAATCTTAAAAACAAATACAAAAACTCTTCTTTCTTTTCTCACTGGCTGATCCTCTCTCTTGCTTTGATAACAGCACAGTCTATTTACCCAAACAAGAAACCTCCTCCTTCTACCACACTTTCCACCTGAGTAGATCACAAATTCATTCACTCAAAATAATATTTATAAACTGTCTTCCAATGTGTCAAACATTGCTGAGCAGTAAGATTTCAACAGTAAAAAGACTCAAGTCATGTTTACAAAATACTTATTATCTGTTTTCTTTTTTCCTGGTGGTGCTAGGGATTGAACTCAGGGCCTCACACATGCTAGGCAAGCCAAGTACTCTACCACTGAGCTATAGCCCCAGACCAAATCCTTATTTTCTCAACACATGCCACTTCCCCTGCCCCTATTGGGCCAAAGATTTAACTTAGCATCTTGAAATTTCTCACCTAGATGATTATAAAACGTCTCCCAGGTGATCTCTCTCTGCCTCCATCTATACCCCATTTCACTCTACTATCCACTAGAGTGTTTCAACATAAAGATCAGGTTATGACAGCCTCTGCTTAAAACCCTTCAATGAGCAGGCACAGTAGCACATTCTTGGATCACAAGTTCCAGGACCCTGTCTCAAAATAAAATGAGGGCTGGGATTGTGTCTCAGTGGTAGAGCACTTGCCTAGCATGTGTGAGACACTGGGTTCGATCCCTAATACCACATTTAAATAAACAAATAAATAAAACAAAATAAAGGCAC